CTTTGTTGATATTAAAATAGCAATAAGTTATGCGGAGGTCAAGCGAAGCGCGCCATGTTTGATTTTAGGACGTCCGCTAGCATCATGACACGGGTTGTTTATCACTGTATATCGAAAATATTCAACCAAAATGCTTGAAATTAGGATTAGTGAATATTTATAAATCATTAATTGTTTCCCCTTAAATTTCATAACATGACACGTCAGATTAACCCAAATATTCTTATTTCTGCAACCGACATGATGACCTCGAAAATTAAGTTATTTTTCTGTTTAACGTTTAGATAATAAATTTACTGAAATGGTTCATAATTTACCATCACGCTGTTATTTGCCAATAAAAAAAACCGAAATTTTACTCAATTAAAATTAAGATATCGGAGATATGATTATTGAAATCATTTTGCACAAATGTTAGGATATTAAAAGGTTCCTAGCATGAAATGCAAACCACCTTCAATAACGCAATTCAGGTATGTTCAAGAAAATTTACAAATTTTGTGTTCGCTTTGGTCTTAACCTTGGTATGATTGAAAATATCGGGATATTTTTATATAGCACTGTGTAGTTTTCTATCAGTAATAAATGTGCAAAATATTTCTTCAATTGGCCCTTGTTTAATGAGGCACCAACTGTTTGAAATCACCCACCCTCTTTAGAGCGCCTTATGCTAAAATTAATCCAGCAGGAAGGGGTAAGAAGTGTGAAAGTAACTCAGCAGGCTAAAGGTTAATCGGTTATTCTCTTGCCTTCACTGATTATTTTTTTGTTCTGTGGTACAATGTTGCTCTGCTCGTGTATTTTCTTGTAAACTTAGCCGGAAACAGCAATAAGCTGTACAAACGTTTTCTTGGAATCTACTGGTGATTCAATCAAGACACACCCAATGATATAACTTACAGGATTTTAATTCAAGGATCGGCAAAAATTGTATCTGAAACTATTTTCTTTTTAGGAATAATATATTCCAATATCTTGTTATTTTAGTTGCACTTTTGCTAAATATATTTAAAATAATAATAACCCTAAGCGTAGCTGCTGATCGCTAATGCCGGTTATTTTTTTCACATGGAACAATTTGACCATTAACCGTCGAGGCTCCCGTGCAGGTGATCGCGAAAACTTTGTGTTTACATAGAATCGTCAAACTATAACAAATATGACTTTTAATGAGTCAAAGTATGGCATTTATAATATATGTATCCATTCTCTGTCAACTAAAGTTCGTTTCAAGGCGTCAATAATGATAATCTGACCATGGTTGCTGTTAATAACAGTGAATTGTGCAATCTTCCGATCGCTTCACACACGATTTTGCCAAAATTAATTAGAACAATATTATAAGGAATTTTGAATAAAATTTATGAAATTAATTACACACATAAGTCCAGATATATAATGAAAACTTTAGCCAGACAGTATTATGACATGATTAATTTGCGTACTTCAGTATGGATTTGTTGACATGGTATTTCCGGTGTTACGTGCTCACGGTAATGTCTTTGCGTTGGGGGGAAAAAACTCATTATTGCATGTATAATGCGCACCCCCTTCAACACAACTGTGTTTTTTTGGAAAAAAAGTGTGCACTATACTCAAGAAAATACGGTACTAATATCATGAGAGGGCATCGACCACCTTGATGAGAATTGAGCCCCAAGACATTGGACTGCTTCATTCCATTTGCATTGCCCTTTGGTGTTTGCAATATTGGCTTGATATTCAGTTCATCCCCTCATCCAGCAATCTGTGTGCTTCGGGCAACAAATGTAAAGAGGATGTATAAAATGGTGTAGATATGGTTTACAGCAAATTAGCTGCCAGCTTGTTAGGGTGATTGACATGGTCAAAACTAATTTAGCCAAGTTTGAAGTGAACATTGTTGAGCCTCATCTGTGATCTAAATATGGCAGTGGATCAGGAACCAGTGAACAATGACAGATCAGCAAAAAACCTTAAAGACAGTCAGAATTTCAGCATTTAAATACACATAGGCCATATTATGAATTTGCATAAGCTCTGCCAACGACCAAGACACTGATCCACATTGGATGAGCCGAAAGTTTGAGACTGGAAGCAGGTGACAAACCTTTGTGTACAATTACAGATGTTGTGAAACCTCAGCAGCTTTAAACAAAATATTTAGGTCCTTGACCCTGGAGTGTAAGATTGAAAATGATTTGGAAAGCTTATAGGAAGCCACACATGTTGAGGAATCTGAATTGATAGTTGGACAATACACAGAAAAGTCAGAGGTATAAATGAGAACCCGGGGGGAAAGTGTTGACCAACAGAAAGGTAGCAAGGGAAGTCTGAATATCCTTTACAAGTACATGTGACTGAGTTTTTGACAGACTCAACCTCTCAGGCCAGGCTGAGACATTTTGTTTGTTTGTGTTTTAACACTCCACTCAGCAATATTCCAGCTATATGATGGTGGTCTGTAAATAATCCAGTGATTGACATTACAAGCATCAATCTACGTATTTGGAATATGATGACATGCAACAAGTGAGTGAGCCTCACCACCAGGTCATATTAGTCGCCTGTTACGACAAGCATGGGTTGCTGAAAGCCGATTCAGCTGAGATGTGTCCACAGCAGGGAGCTGAGGAGTAGCATCTTGGACCTACAATGGGACAGGACTCAATCATAACTGAGGCCAAAGCCAGGCCAACAGATGACAGCTTCAAGGTATCAGCAAGCAGGTTAGATTTGTCAGTTCTTGACAAAGAGAAACAATAGGTTGTAGCAGTATCTGAGTGGCCTGGGGATCTGGACACAGCCGAGGACACTGGAACATTTCCTTAGGTCTTGGGTTAGAATGTCTTGGGTCTTTCTGATGTCTTGAAGGAGAAATTAGAGAGACAAATGAACTCTGGTGCCAGCTGGGAAGAATTTGTTGATGAACGGCCCAGAGAATGGTCTCATCGAATGAAGTGTCAGAATGAAGTCTACTGTAAATCACAAAATTACTGCATCACAAAATTAATGTGAGTGTCAACCCCTGGCCTAAAATGTGTCATGAAATTAATGTGAGTAGACCCACCAACATGAACAAATCAGGAAATGATAACTTCAAGACTGTAGACTTAGAATTTCATTATATAGTAGGGGATGATAGCAGTTCCCTTGAATAATATTATCAAAAACTTAACTTCAACTGCTCGACATGGGATCTAACTACAATGAAATCAAAAGCAGGAAATTCCAATAAGGTATATTCATATGAGATGAGAGGTCAGGTCAACGACAAAGATTTACAGGTTCCAAGTGTTGTTACATGAGTAAGCACAACTCTTTGAATGCATATGCTACTGTATTGGACATATTCATGATGTGGGGGATTTGTGTTTTGCTTGTAATTCTAAGATTATTTGACACGTTTACCAAGAACAAAGATGCTGTGATACACCATTGGCTAAAGACCTAACTCCTTGATGAACTTGTGTAAACAAACTGTCCACACTTGACACTGAATTTGGTGAGAAGCAATAAATCTAGTGCTCAATATTTTAATTACATTGTTTATTATGGGCTGTTATGTATTTCATTGTGAACCTGACATGACAATATATGCCCAGTACATGATGTATGTCGCGATACAAATATTGCACTGCATATATTTCATGATTTAGAGTATTTAAATGGACTCTAGTAGAGCAGGAACTTAAGGCCCTGACCGAGGCAGTCCCCAGTGTTTATTCAAGTCTGGCAAAACACATCCAATAATAATGCTTCCATTTTGAAAAATGTGCCCAGTTCTCAAAAACAGTTGGCTGAAATGTTTGAATATTATGTAGATCATCATTACTAAGTTTTGTGCATCAAAGTTGAAATATTACTTTATGTGGAACAATAACTTTGAAATTTTTTTACATTAATGCCTTACAGTCCTTTCCAATCAAACTGATGACATTCCGTATCAATTAATCTGAACAACCCTCCCATCAGCCATAATTTTTTTCTTGGTTTACAGAAGATTTGAGAAAATGAAGTGAATAAACAGTAAATGTACATCTTCTCAGAAGACATATGAGTTGAAATGTATCTGTCATGGATCGCAAACAACAAGCGCAGATACCACATTTAAAGAGGGGGTAGGGGTATGCTCAGCATGAACCGCTTTGTTGATTTTTCTGGTCTAGTCTAGTCAAGTCATATTTTCAGACATAGATCCCTTCCACTATGTAACTGATTGGTTGATTAGTTGGTTAAATGTCTTGCACTAAAACGTTGGTAAATGAGACCAAACTGTTTCTTGAATCAATGTGTGATCACCAGCTGGCCACCCAACTGGCAATGACTTATTGTCAAGATGGTTTTGTGGGTTCAAATCTCATAAACATCTTTCCTTTGGAAGGAAATAGACATTTGCTGCAGATTCTTTGAACTTTGCTTACATTACATGAAGCATTCACAACATAATTACAGTTCAATTAATCATAAACTGTTGCATTGTAAGAAACTTATTGCTGCAGAGCATAAGGATGATCCTAGTGCCAGAAGGTGCAAGATTATCTTATATCCTTATGTTATACACCATTGGATTACATTTTGGTTTCTTAATAGACCTTTTGATACTGACCTTCACAGGTTATTGATCTCTGGTATCATCTGCCACCTGCACCACCAATGTGCAATGTTTCAGAATCCTCCCAGTTCTGGCTATCTCAAAATACCAACCAAAGACTACATCCAGCAAATGGAATCTATTTCTTGGACTACAGGTGACATTTCAGCATCTAGTGAGTGAGTAGGATAACACCTTTCAGCAACATTCCCTCTGTGTATGGGCAAGACACACACTGTACCCAAGTCTTTAGTGTGACCAGTGAATGCCTCCAGCATCCAACATAATTGTGTCAGCTAGGGTCTGGACCTTGTATAACTTTGATCCCTTTATGACATATGTATGTTTAAAAGTATAGCTTTTATGAGACATCTTACTGATATTGGAAGTACATGTATGTATAGATATATATAAACACAATTCCTACCTGTTCCATGCACAGTCCAGGATTGACAGTGTGTGGTATCAAAGAAGGCATCACTTTAGTTGCTATAAGGTTGTGTGTGAGTCCAAATTTCTTATCACTGAGCATGTGTTTGTAAATCCCTGGAACAAAACACAAATGAAATATATGTTGCTTTTTACATGATTTATGTCACAAAGCAGGATACTAATTCATAAGAAAAGGCATCATTGCTCACCAGGTACATTTTGAGTGTTATGCTGTTGAAATTCAAGTAAACTGAAATAAAACAAACACCCTTTGCTATTTAGGATAATTTAGAATTGACGAAACTATCATGACTTTCATAAGACATTGATACAAAAGATTACAACACTTAATTTCCACTGCTGGCATTGTAGTCTGTCTGTCCAAAATATTACCATTTTCTGCTTGAAACAGCATGTTGAGCAGCCAGTTATTTCAATCTTTCAGCAGTTTTCGCATCTTCCCATGTCCCACTGACCTTCTGATCTGAGGTAGGACACCTTGTCCACATTACCAAAGAGGTAAACCCTATCAGAAAGCTTATGAGGTAAGGATGACATCTGTGTGATGACTCCACGCCCTGCTACATATACACCAGTAGCAAGGTGTCCAACAACTTTGGAAATAAAGCACCTGGCATAAGTAGTGTAAAAGTGAAAGTTTGAGAGAGTTGTCAAGTGTGTCCCAAGGCCAGGAACATGCTTACACATTTTACTAGGTATCGATAGTTGACAGTGAAGATGACTTCTTTTAAATATTTGAATACTTTTACAGTTTGATGACAACCCAAGTACGGAATTTCTGGTAATGATGTAATGGAAGCAGTATTTTACCATTTATACTAATGATAATGATATTGTTTGCTATTACTGTTTGGGAAAAAACATTTGCATCAAAAAATCTAGCCAATTGCCTGAAGAATTCATTACAATATTCTTTTTATTGTTCTTTAGTCTGATGTGGTTTGATGAAAAGTAGAAATCCCTTAAAGCATTCTTATAAAATGGTGGTATACACTGGATAACAGAGATGCCCTGCCTTTCGTTGTGTTTGATGATGAAGCTCTGAACTTCATTATCCCTGGGGAATATATGGATGGATTGATTGCATGTCCCAAAACATATTTAACATTAACCTAGGTACACTACATATGGTCTTATGAGAGTAAATGAGAGTAATCAGCATGCATTAAACCAAGGCTAATATGATAAGGTGTAGCACACCTTAACTTTAGGTATACTCCTACAGTTCTGGAGTATCATCAAGAGCAAACATGATTAACACTTCGGAAACAAGTAGGCACACCACCTGTACATAAGGTATACCCACACGGGTAACATATCAAGCATGCTAGCAAACATGTGATGTGACAACTGGAGCATGTTCCATACCCAGTAGGGTTAGGGGAGTGGGGTCACATCATGTGCAGTGTGGGTTCAAGTCCTTTCAAAATGAGAAACCACTGATCCACGACCTTGATCAAAAGAACTTGGGATAGTGTGTGAGGTGGCAAGACACTGGTGTCACTCATGGCAGGATACACTTATTATTCTGTTTTCTGTTGACATGAGAACAGCAAAACTTGTTTGGGGAGGAACATCGCTAATCTTGGGTGGTTTGGGGGCATGCCCCCCAAAGAGAATTTTAAAAACAAGGATTATAATAAGTGCATTTTACATCATTCTGAGAGGATAAATCTGATGCCTTAAACAACCAAACTACCCTCGGTATCATAAACTGTGGAACTTCGCCTTGTGTCAAGCAACAGATCTGCTACACGAACTAAGATACCTTGCCATATGTTTTAATTTCTCAGTTACGGTTTGATATATTTGTGGTTGTGACAATGTAATCGCAGATGCTATCTCCAGACTTTACTTACCCCAGCAGATTGAGAAATTCATGCAGAACCTTGCTCAGTAGTATGGCCTATCAAACACTCCTCTGGGTTTCTGGTTACAAAATCATATGACATCTAATGCTATCATATCATTATCTTCACAGATTCTCGAGTGGTAGTCATCTACCAGGAGTTGATACAGAGATAGCCCAGTGGAAAGCAGCGTGCTTCACACAGGCTACAAAGGACGCTTATCGTAGTCATGCATCTACACAGCTTAAGTTATGTGAACTGACCACAGCAGTACCAGTGCCATTGTAACTTGAATCAGAAAACTTGAAGAACTTCAGACCAGTACCCAATCTGCCTTATATATCCAAGCTTGTAGAATTTTTAAACTTCTGTTTTGCGTATTAGTGCACTCTGAAACAGCTCCATCATACTGTGTTCCTAAAATTAAACTTAGTAGTTATGGACAGCGATTATTCTCTTCTGCAACAGCATAATCTTCCCACCGAACTTCACAACAATGCAAACTAATCTGCCTTCAGACCAGTGTTAGAAATAAATACAATTCTAGTCAGCCATCAGAATTAGAAACTGCAAGCCCTGACTAAACTCTTCAGGCCCTCATTTAATAAAACTGCAGCTTATTGTGACTAATAAATTAACACATAAATTTACTGTAGGCAATTAGGTCCCATACAAATATGAAACTACACGGCCAACAGAAAATCTACTTGCAACGGGCCTATGGGCAGGCGCTTTTTTCGAACGCTGCTTCAGACTCACAATCTTCCGCCAAGTCTTTGAACTTTGCTTTTCTTTGTGCGCTTTGAGCATGATCGATATCCAGCATGGAAAAGTGCCTTACATATGGACTAACACTATTATCATTAGTTGTGATGTAGATGTAGTATTCTTTGAATTATTAACAATGATAACTATTGTTTAATCATTCCTGCAAATACAAAACCTCATTCAGTGTCACAATATACCCAATGGATTGGTTGGTTCTGACATCTAGTAATACCCTGGATAGTTAACAGAATCTTAAAAGAGAAATTAATCCGAAACTCCATGACTCCAATCCAATTTGGGTCTTATTTCCTTCTAAATTCAGTAAATGGGGGTACCTACTGGTTTTAACCAATACCATTCCAGTTGAACTGATGCTTTGGCAAGTACCTGCTTCACCCCCAATTCTGTCCAAACTCTTTTTCGCAATGTCTGTATCAAAAACATCACTTCCATGTAAAGAAGTGATCTTTCCTGGATCTCAAATGTGTTGCTGTCAAGTAGAAGTGTAGAGCCTGAGCAGGATAGAAGTGCCTATCCAGAGGTCCCTTGCCAGCGATGCTAAACCAAAGGCAGGAATCTTGTATTGTCTGTCTCCTAGCTGTCCCAGAACCATACACTGGCAGAGATGAAAGTGGAAATCAGGTACCATGGGTATTATTACAGTCCCCACATCCATTCCTCATCCTCTGAAGTTGTTGCATTTGGTGTCGCAGATGGTAGACAAAGATGGTCTCCATGAGCAACTGAAATTGATTTTGAACAACAGGAAGACTGCATTTTCTGCACAATAGCGTTCAAGCAAGAAGGTGGAGGGTATGTAGGCTGCTGCCCATGGTGTCTGATCTGGCTTGAACAAGGAGATCATGGCAACTATTTTTCTATGAAGCTGGAATCTGGCTCCGATATATATTCTGACAAATCTAGAGGCTTGTGATGAATGTTTCATTATGAAAACACCACATCATTGCAACAGGGCAATGTAGTTAGCTGATCCCTGTCTGGGGCCCCATTGTTTTAAGACACAATGAACCAAGTATTGTAACAACACAATATTGGGGTGACGTTCCAACACCTGTATCTTTGCAGATACCATTATTTGACCAATGCTTGAATCATCAGGTAAACCTTGACTTCTAAAATATTGACCAATCTGGGTGCTCATCAAACTGAAGCTGCCTTTCTTGACTACCCATGCAACAAATGTGGTCATCTGGAAACCAGTTAAGACAAGTTTTGATTTATTGTGATATAAATAAATTGCAAGTGATTCCATGACATTTGACTGACTAACCGAGCAATATTTTTCCATAAACTTCAAAAGAATTAGGTCATGCCCACTAACAAACTATAGTTTCCTAATAATAGGGTGGGTGGTGCATTTGTTGCATTATTGCGCGGATCAATTTCACTAGTTATCTACATTTTTTTGGTAGTTAATGATTTGACAAGCAGCCTGTGAAGCTATTATTGTTGACTTATTTATTTATATAAATTTCAATATTGGTTTGAGTTCATGGAGGTAAAAATGGAATAACTGGTGAATACACTTTAGACAAACCTGCTACATGGATATGTGCACACCTTTTATACATTTATACCTCCATAAATGCAAAACATATTGAAGTCCATTCTTAGAAACCTTTGACTAGCATCCAGGATGACTTTGATATCACAGATTCTTCTTTTCAACATTCTTCAAACAAATTTTTTTTTTTTAAATGGTCACAATCCATACATATTTGTAACCAGTCCCAGGACAGTTTGCATTATTGCTATGTGACTTTGGGCCTTGTTGATATTGACTGATAATAAGTTTGGAAATAAAATATTAACCAAAATATATTTGGAAAACACCCATGGGGATATCTGATGAGGATATGGGATCCTAAAAACTAATGCTTGGTGTAAACACTGACCAGATTGTCAGGCTTGGTAGCATGGTTTATTGCATGTCATGGTATCTAATTTGCATAGATCCATGCTTGTGATGTCCATCACTAGACTGTCTGTTCTAGACATGATTATTTACCGACTGCCATCATATACAACAATGAAACAAATAAATTTGTACACCAGTACTAGGCCAATTCAACTCGTCACATGACATCTGACCATACATATTGATCAATTGGCAGGTTGTGGAACTAGAAATAAACCAAATTGGGTCAAAATACATCAATGTCTGTCAGGAAATAAAAAAGGAAAGATGGACAATGCCTTTATATAAGCTCTACTGGCCTATGACCATTTGAGCCAATAATCCAATCACTACTTCAGCTTATTAAGTGTTTGGAGGGTGTTCTTCAGTCTCAGAAGTTAGGTTGCATGCCATAAACCTATGTCAAGAAGGGTCACTGACATTTTTTTTTCGTTTGTTTTTTATCAAAACATGAGAGTCAAAACAAAATAAGTAGCAATAGAATTCCAATGAAGTTATTGAACCCTTTAAGTTGTCTGGAGTAAACCTATATATTTATTCTTTGCCTAAAAGAGAGCATCTTACCAACAGATTTTATAATGTAGCACTCCTTGTTACCCTGCCTGGTGCTCAGCATTAAGAGGGTAAAACAAGGACTGGTCTGTCCGAAGTCTGTATACTGTGTCTGAGTGTGGTATCCATGTAAAACTATGGAATGGTTTATACCAGTTGGCTAGTACAATGAAACCGGCATAAGCTCAGACATGTGAAAACATGCATCTGTATACGAGAGTTGATTAATAAGTTCTAAGCCTCATGTAGAAGGAATAGCGTAATAGTGTTGCACTCATATCTTCATTGATGGTTTTTGGTGTGAAGCCATTTTTCTGATAGGTACTTGATCACTGTAAATTGTTCACGTTTGTCCATTTTCAAAGGTCATAGACCCCTGCTTATCTTACTGACTTGTCACAGTGAAGGTTTTTTTTTTAGATATACCTCTGTGACATCAAAGTATTTCAACAAAACTCAATTCCTTCCATGTGGAGCATAGAAACTGTTAATCAACCCTGAAAAGTGAAATAATTTTGCAAGTATCCTTTAAACCCCATGTCACCTCACATCATCTGTATAACACTGAGTTTGACAGAATAACAAGGCTCTCCGAGGCCTCATATGTGCTATGATTTGGATAGGAGAAAATATTTAATATAATAATTAACCAACAACAAAAGATGATTATAGTTACTATCATAAAAGGTTTATCTGATATAATTTGTTCACACCAAAATTACTAACAATCCAATTTGATATTACCATAACTGTCTTCCTCCCAAAAGCTGAAGTCATAAGTTAACATACCTACTATTGTCATGACAACTTCAGCATCTTGACATGAAACATCAGCAAGGAAAGGCAAAATTTCATCTAGGATGAGCATTTTATCCAGACTGTCCAACATATGGTCGATACACGTCAGTGCATTTATTCTCAGCTGAAAGGAAAAGTTTAGTGCCTGTAACCAATGTATTAGTGCATACATAAAGCATCAATCACAGGACAAGAAAGGAAAGTGGCTGTGTAATGTATTTTCTTTGATAAGACAGGACAGCATATTCTCAATATAATACTCTTTAAACTTTATAACACTGGTACAGCAAGAAAGATCACAGCATTTGGAAAGGAAAGAGGTTTAGAGATGAGTTATTTCATTCACAACTTCTGCAAAATTGCTAAGTACATATAACAGTGCCTAAAAGGAATTTATTTTCATTATCATCTACACAAAGTCTGTTTAAGCTAGAGCACCGAGCTTCATTTTTATTTTAAGAAGACAGATACTTAAATTCTTTGTCTGAATGCCATGATCAAATCTGAAACCAATTGCAGTGCAGTTCTTCGAAAAACATCAGCTCTTAGACTTTTTTGGTTTTTGAGAAGATGATGCTTTTAAATTCCACACTTGAAGAATGTGATTTAAATTTTTGAAACCAGTTTTCCCCATTCACACTTAAATGCGAACCCTGTTTAAAATTACTTTCCAACACATCTTCATAAAATTATCAGTTCTCTAGGCCATGTGGTTTCTCACAGTTTGAATTTTTACCATTATTTCTGTACTACCCCAGCTGACCTCTGCACAGCACTGAAGTAGCTGGATGTGCCTATTAAACAGTGCATAAAACTGTGGCAATGCAGGCAGATGATGGACAAGCAGTCCCCGACAGTCCTACTAAATAACGTCCAGGAGCGTCAGGAAATGTGTATTCTATATAATTACGTTCTTGTATTAATTATAATTATAGTAAGTTATAACAAATATCGAAAAAATAAAATATATGAAGAAAATATTTACAGACACCACTATTCTTTTGAAATGTTCAACCTGCGTACCAAATACGATTTTATTTCATTTGAGCTGACATGGTGGCCGTCTTTGAAGGATACTATGTTAATTGCTAACAACATCATCAAATTAAGTACCTATTGGAAATCATTAAATTTTCCGGATTCAATACACAAACCTTCAGCCAATTGTACAAATCCAGCTGTATGCTGACATGTGCTGCCCTCTACAGCCAAGGCAATTATTATTGTTCTGTTTGGATGAACAAAACCTTCCAAATGGCGCACTGGTTTTCTTGGGGGAATTAGTCAGTCACAGGAGACTTATCACAATTTTATTTACAAGAACAATTAACAATGAACAATTTACAATATTTTAGAATATAGCTGGGGGTGCCACAGAGAGTCGGTACAACCCTCTGGGCTGTGAGAGAGAGATCTACTTGGTATGAGCGTCAAACCCCTTCTGCTTAACATTTTGCATCTGTATGTATTTAACAAAACTTAGAACAATAAAAAAGAATATGATTGGTTGATACACAATGGGGTGTGCCTTATGGTTAATGAATGCCTAGACAGAGGGGAATACTTAATCCTGTTAATCCTGTTGGACTGGCACTAATCTTGTTGACATACTACTGGGTGCATGGAAAGAGATAAAGGTATCACTATAGACAAGCTTGTATGGGGGCTAATCCTTAATGAGTCTAAATTGAAGTAATTGCTGAATGTTATTCTAATATAGGTGATGACAGATTTCAAGTTCAAGGCAATCTATAAGACTATGTAGACATTTCATTTGTCTTATTGGATATTATGTCTGGGAGATGGGATCATGATACCTTAGGCTAGTATTTATCTAAAAGCTTCAAATCTATTAAAATATGTAGACACAACTCTTGTCTTATTGAATAGTATGTCTAGGAGATGCGCTCCCATTACCTTAGGCTAGCTTCTATCTAAAAAGTTACAACTGAAACTACTGATATTTTGTATATGCATTTTACCTGACGGAGACGGATGTCATATAGCTGAAATATTGCTGGGTGTGGCGTTAAACAATAAAAGAAACAACATTTTTTATCAAACTTGTCTGTAATTACCATTAGGTCTGCTTTCTTTGATAAAAACAACTTCATGGCCTCTTAAATATTTCTTACCTTGTTACTTGTACTTAGTTGTTTGGGTTTTTGTGCTGTGTTTTATCTATTTGCACGCCACTAACATCAACAATTGTGGCTATTCTCATGATTGTACCAAACTGAGAAAGACATGTTTTATTGACTGACTGCACTGAACTATTTAACTCCCGGACGTCTGATGAAACCTCCCAGATGTTTTCGGACGTTTCCGGACACCCTGGGACATTCCTGGCCTTTAAATAGTACGACCCAGCCCTGACACAGGGAATTTGGTATTCACAGGACGTTGATCTGACGACAGTATCCAGTGTGGTATCTGTAGATGCTTAATCTGCTTAACCATTGTTGTTTTAGGGGATTAAAACTCGGGGGGGGGGGGGAATGTGAATGATGTTAGTGGTTATGTTACTTGCATGTCGTCCTGATGTGTACTGGCATTAAAATTTACTCAGAATCTTGCCATGATGGACTAGCTAAACAGTTACACCTTGTGCCAGTTTGTGTGTGTGTATTTTTATTTGTCTATAATAATAAAAAATAATGAAAATAAACTGTAATGTATATCAATGCATTTGCTGAAGTAGACTATGTCATGACACAACTCATTAGGTGAACACTGAATTGTTAACTCTTTGCTGTGGAAACGGAAAAAAAACCACCACCAAGTAACATCTGGAAATACATGTAGTAGGAATAGGAACACTGTACATCTTAGAAATGTCTGATATATGGCGTTAGGCTTCCCCAATTGTTCAACAGTTGATAAAATTTATCCCCCATTCATAAAAGAGAACAGTTGTTCGATAGCTGTTCATTTCAACAAATTCTTTCCACAGTCAAGGTCATTTAATACAACTTACATATGAATCAACTGTTCGATAGTTGTCCGACAATTGTTCGACAAACAGATCCTTGACAAGGTCAAGGTCATTCAACAAATTATTGCTAAATCTTCTTTGAACTGATGCAGATTAATGCAATGCATTATTTATTTTTCCTTAAATTGAAAATGTTGTATTTAATGTTATATAATCATGAGTCAGTCAAACCTTGACATGGCCTTGTCATGGACTCAGTATTTTGACTCAGATCTATAACCTTGTGATGACACTTTTTAAATTCAGTTCACCTTGTTTTGACCTCCAAATCACTGTTCTTGTTTTATCACTGGTTTGTTGTTACTTCGTTGACAGCTGTCATTTCAATTTTGAATGTGTTCTTGATTCATAATTTTCAATTTGATAACAAAATCATTTCTGAAGTAAAAGTGTTTTTTTCTTCTCTCATTCCATTAAACTTGGAATATTCATTCTTTATATCAGTAATTAAGCAAAATCCGCAATTAAGCCCAGGGCTTAAAAATGTGCAGTCATGGTAGTTATATGGTAGTGTAATGGAACAGTACAGTGTGTTGTGTTTGGGACAAAAGAGTTAAAAGGAGTACTGTCAAATCTAATAATTTGAGATACTGGTTGTACCACACATTGCTACATTAAGGTCATCTTGGATATATGTTATGCCTGTTACCGTTTCAAATTATTACACTCATATAACCAAATATTTATAGTTTGATCACATTTGAATTGACAATATCAAGAACAGTAAAATAAACTGCTACAACACCCAAACACAAGGCTGTTACAGTGAAAATACTGTAACAGCATAACTTCAGAAACACGGTTTATTGCAGTTATATTTTGTAAAGCTAACATGGTAGAAAACAGACAATATTGCTGATACAAATTACATTTATTTGAATGTCAATACTGAAGATGAGCACATCTATATATTCAATTTCCACAGAAACTCTGCAGGAATTTTGCAAAGTTTTGTAAAAGTTTTGTACAATTTCTGCATAGCTATGCAAACACTTCCGAGAATTACAGTGGATTATATGCGAATATTTCCAAACTAATTGCTACTTTTATTGGACTAATTAGTTGTATGGCCTCTGGTTGCCAGCACAAGCATTGTGCAGGATGACAAGTTATAACCCTAAACTTCTAAACATGGTCTACGATACTGTTAAATGTTTTACTGCTATTAATATTTTAAGTTTATTCATAATACCACCCAACTCTACTGTACTGAGCTTTTCACGACCCACAACTGAACCTAAATACAGCCTTAACAGACCCATGTATTATTCCATGTTATGTGATCTGATTGGGGTGGAGGAAGCATGGACTGCCCAAGCCACAGAATGTTATTACTATTTGGAGTAGTGATCTGGGTAAGTGTCATTCTCTTTATTATCAAACTATCAAGAAGGAGAATGTCAATTGTACAACTATTGAGTCAAGTAAAAGGTGACATCTCTCCTTACATGCTATGTGAATTGAAGGGGAAGGAGTGTGTTGTCATTAGTTCTATAGCTAAAAGTATCAGCTAGCTCACACTATGATCTAGCTAATGAGGCATTCCAGACCGCATTCAAGAGTAACTATTTACGAAGAAAAAACCCTAAGATCACATCCGATGTTCATGTGGTTCTATATGTCAGAAGCCAGTCACTAAACAAAAACTATTGGATGACCTCCAACCTTTTCCATGATTGGTTGCTTGCTTTTGACAGATGTGGCAGACAGATTTTCTTTCTTATTCATTTGTTTTACATGAATGAAGAGAATGCATGGATGTTAGTGAGGCATTTTGTTATGTACATGTATTATGTTTAAGCTAATTGCTAACTCTTATCAGTTCATGAACTGATTCATATATCCTCAACATTGTTTGTCTGGATTATTCCTTCAAACGTTTCTGGACAAGCAGGGTACTACTATATAACAATGATATGGTATTCAATCAATGTTCAGAAATAGGCATAAACATTGACTCAAAGTCTCATGCTCAGATAGCTGTGTCAGACAGCAAAGTGACTCACTGTAGCTGATGATCTCTAGAAGGTAGTTTCAGACAGCAGAGTGACTCACTGCAGCTGATGATCTCTAGCAGGTAGTGTCAGACAGCAAAGTGACTCACTGCAGCTGATGAGCTCCAGCAGGTA